ACATTGTCTTGTACACCTTGTCCATGCTGCTGCTGCTCCTCCTGCTTGGGGTGGCGGTTGTATTAGTCCCCTCATTTGCTGCTATGACAAACAGCCACTAACTTCTCTTTCAGTTCTGGGGGTTGGAAGTCTGATATGGGCCTCACTTGGTTGAGTTCAAGTGTCCCCAGGATTGCACTCCTTCTGGAAGCTCTTGGAGAGAATCCATTTCCCAGCCTTTTCCAGCTTCTAGAGCTCACCTGCATTCCTTGGCAGGTGGCCTCTTCATCCATCTTCAAAGCCAGCAATTTCTTCATATCTCTAACTCTGACAGTCTCTTCTGCCTCTCTTTTCCACTTATAAGGGAACTTTGTGATGACATTAGGCCCAACTGGATAACTCAGGATAATCTCCCTATCTTAAGGCCAGTTTATTAGCAATTGTAACTCCATCTACAATTGTTAATTCCCCCTTTTAATAACCTAACACATTCAAGGGGCCTGGGGATTAGGACGTGGACAGATTTGGGGGGTTATTCACTAAAGGGGTTTTTCTACAATTAGCTTTTCACAGCCAGAAAAGCTCAGAGCTACATGAGGCAGGAACCAATGGCAGGCAGGCTCATTTTCAATGCAATACACCCAACCCTCCTGCCCACCTTTCCCCACTCTATGTAGGAGGGAGGGAGGAGCCCCTCCCTAAGAGCATGCTGGGTCTCTAATGCCCACCCCAGAGAGGCCTCCATGGCTCCCCATGTCACCAGTGTTTCCCCCCAGAATCAAATGTGGGTGGGTGCACAAGTTTCCACTTACCTACATCATCCAGCTTTCTGAGATTTGGGTGGTTGGCCTGGTACTTTGCCTCCTGTTCTTTACTTGTACTTATGGCTTCTTTCAATCTATGAACAAAAGTTCACAAGAAATAAAACTTTAAAAAAGGAAAAATCCCTACGACAGTGTCGTCAGTCTGTTCAAATAATGCCTATGTGGTGCTGAAAATCAAATGCTTCCTCTGTGCATTTGTCCTTCGGATCAAAGAAAGGATTTCAACAGCTTCTCCTGGGAGCACAGGGCCTGCAGTAAGCTTGCAAAAACCCCTGCCTTAGAAATCCAGTATCTAGCTAGGTGGCTCTCCTTCAGAAAGACAAGAAGTCTGATGACTAGGAGGATGAAAATACATGTAACCACCAAATAGGTACTTCAAACCAGGGTCAGCAAACAATGACCTGTGGGCCAAGTCTGGTCCACCATCTGTTTTTGCTTTGTTTCCCAACTCTTTTTATTGTAGTAAAAAATACATAACAAAATGGTACCACCTGTTTTTGTATGACCATGAGCAAAGCATGGCCTTTATAGATGACCATTTGAATTTCAGATAACTAAGTTTGAACCTCACTTAAAAAGTTCATTCTTAGCCGGGCTCGGTGGCTCAGCATGTAATCCCAACATTTTGGGAGGCTAAGGTGAGTGGATTGCCTGAGCCCGCGGGTTCAAGACCCGCCTGGGCAACTTGGCGAGACCTCATCTCTACAATAAATCAAAAACTCAGCCGGGAGTGGTAGCGCGTGCCTGTAGTTCCGGCTACTTGGAAGGCTGAGGCGGAAGGATCACTGGAGCCCAGCAGGTTGAGGCTGTGGTGGCCGGGAGCGGCCATTGCACTCCAGTCTGGGCGACAGAGTGAGACTCCAACTCAAAAAAAAAAAAAAATTTCATTCTTCTCATTAGTTGGCCCGTATTACCAAAAAATTGTACTCAACTATTATTGTTTTTATATTTTGAATTCTGTCACTAAAAGTTTGTAGAAATCTGTTTTTTCCTCTTGTCATGTAAGTCCCTACAAAATACCTTTGCTTTTGTTTCCTGGCCCACAAAGCCTAGTTTGCTGACTCTGCCTGTAGGCAGAGACATCTCTCTCACAATTCAGAGTCATTCAGACTGTGACTGATGCCCTGCTGAGCTCCCACAGGCAAGGCAGGTGTCTCCAACTGGGAGCTGGGCCTCCCCAGCAGCTTGTTCTCCACCTGTGCTCAAAGGCAGCCCGAATACTTTGCTTGACAGCTTCACCAGCCAAGCTGGGAACCATGGTTACTAGAGATTTTGGCCCTTCCTCTGCACACCACTCCCAGCAATCCAGGCAAACACCTTCTTGATCTCCCACCCCCAGTTATCCCAAAAACCCTGCCTCTTTTTACCCTCACATGGCTTATGACAATGCTTCTAAATTCAAGCTGTCCCTTCCAATCCTTACTCCCCACAGATGCCAAGCATCTTTCTTTCTCCTTCTTTCTTTCTTTCTTTTTTGAGTTGGAGTCTCACTCTATCACCCAGGCTAGAATGCAGTGGCATGCCCACGGCCACTCCAGCGTTGACCTGCTGGGCTCTGGCGATCCTTCCGCTTCAGCCTTCCAAGTAGCCAGAACTATAGGTGCGTGCTACCATGCCTGGCTAATTTTTTATTTATTGTAGAGATGGGTTCTCACCAAGTTGCCCGGGCTGGTCTTGAACCTGAGGGCTCAGGCAATCCACTCACCTCGGTCTCCCAAAGTGCTGGGATTATAGGCTGAGCCACCGAGCCCAGGCCCAAACATCTTTCTAAAACAATCCTGACATGCACCTCTCCAGTTAAAGTCTTTAGATTCCTTCCTTGTGCCAGGCACGGTGGCTCTCACCATAATCCTAGCACTTTGGGAGACAGAGACAAGAGGATTATCTGAGTCCAAGGATTCGAGACCAGTCGGGGCAACTTGGCAAGATTTGTCGCTACAAAAGATTTTTAAAAACTCCAAAACAAACAAATAAAAGATTCCCTCCTTGTAAGAGCAAGTCCAGACTCCAGCAGGCCAGCGGTTTTGCAGGCCACTAGGGCTCCAGCTGTAGTAGAATATAGCAGAGCCTTGTGACATGTTAAGAATTTAACACCTGAGGGATTTCCCTCCTCAGCAGCAACTAAAGATCTAGAACACATAGCTGTTTCTTCCAAGTATCACCGTTGAGTCATGCATTGCCAGGCTGGGTATAGGAGACACCTGGCTTCTGAATCTGTAGGCCACCTCGCAGGTTCCACATCTCAGCATGGACTACTCTTTCTATGAACCATCACATCTGTGGGGATAATACATAAATGATGAAAACTTGATTTGTTTGTGAAAAATGGCTCCCCCCAGAGAAAGCCAATTTCCAGGGTCAGTGACAGAAGTGATAAGAAAGTGGAGACGCCTCAGATAATGGTGGTTCCCGATCAGAAATCAAGTCTTGAATAAGTCAGAGAATTCCAAACTAGGTGTCATTAAGTCTGTGAAGGAACGCATCCCCCATGAACTTGTAAGTGGAAAAGAGAACAAGCAGATATGAAGTCATGTCGGCAAAGACAGAAAGGGAGTCCCAAGAGATGAATAAAACTTTAGAGCAGGTTGCAGGGTTTCTGTGATAAGGATGTACACAGGAAATGCACGACTCAACAGAAACTTGATTAGGAGAAACTTATCTTAAAAGCTTTTTTTTTTGAGTTGGAGTCTCACTCCATCGCCTAGGCTAGAGTGCAGTGGCATGCTCACAGCCAGCCCAGCATCGACCTGCTGGGCTCAGGCGATCCTTCTGCCTTAGCCTTCCAAGTAACCGGAACTACAGGTGTGTGCTATTACACCCAGCTAAATTTTTTTATTTATTTATTGTAGAGACGAGGTCTCACCAAGTTGCCCAGCTAGTCTTGAATTCCCAGACTCAGGCAATCCTTTCACCTCGGCCTCCCAAAGTGCTAGGATTACAGGCTTGAGTCACCACGCCCAGCCTTGAAAGCTTTTAAGTGAGAATATTTCTGCACTTATGGATTAAGGATTTTGACAGGATCGCAAAATTTAGTAAACTGTGTATCCTATAGAAGCAATTATACATTGTAGTGATCTTTGCAAATTGAAGAATTTAGAAGAGCTCACAGGCCCTATCTTCAGAGGCCAAACCTCATGTTAGAGCCTGCTGGGCTTGTGAAATAGCCAACACCTTCCCCCCAACTCCTATGTCCTAGCTTCTCCTGTGCTTTGACTGCCACATGTGCCCTAATCCCATCCTTCGAGCTGGTGGGCTTCAAGGGCTCATTCTGCTCCCAAGTTTGTGGAAGGAGGATGTCTTAGTCCAAAGAGAATGAACATTCTACCTTTTCTTATGGTAGTGAAATGTAGCCAAAAATTAGGACATAAAACATCCGATTTGTATATAGAAAAAAAAAACAATTAAAATTGAGGGGAAAAGAATGACAGATATTTAAAATAAGAGTTGAGCTGGGAAATCTGGGATGAACATTGATTATGGTTGAGCCAAAAAACAAACTCTGATAACCTTGGTTAGTGCCTTCCTTGGGTACTCACTGAGGCCTGCTTCCCTTCCTGCAGATTCCTCTCTACAAGTCCCAACGACTTCACCTGCCTGTTCTTTCTGCTACCACCACCAGTTCTACATTTGTTTCTCCCCAGCCCACTGTAAGTTTGAAATCATTTTCTAATTTCTTCCCTACCACAGCCTATGTCTTGACCTGGGTGGTGGCCACACAGATGTATACAAATGTACACAATCAAAGGATCTCCACTTAAGATGCATGTATTTGACTATACCTTAGTGAATCATTTTTTAAAAACAACTGTTATATAATTAAAACAGAGAGAGATGATTATGAAACCTGTGTAAATCACATTATATCAAACATTTTTCTGAGTTAAATGGAATAAACAGGCTACAAAACCAAAGGAATACTATGATTACAACTATGAAAACACTGAACAAGGGGAAAATAAATTTTCAGTTTTTGTGTTATGGTTGGTAAAGTGTAGATTTTTCATAATATGGTTATATTGTTTTTTGTTTTTCTTTTTTCTTTTTGCTTTGTTGCCCATGCTGGAGTGCAGTGGTGTGATCCTGATTCACTGCAGCCTTGACCTCCTAGGCTCAAGTGATCTTTCTGCCTCAGCCTCCCGAGTAGCTGGGACTACAGTTGTATGCCACCATGTCCAGCCAATTTTTAAAAAATTTTTTGTAGAGACTGGTCTACAAAAGAGACAGGCTGATCTCGAACTCCCGGGCTCGAGCAATTCTCCCACCTTGGGTTCTTAAAGTGCTGGGATTACAGGCATGAGCCACTGCACCTAGCCTAATATTGTTTTTATAATAAAAAATAGACACAATGACCTGTGTACAAATAGTAATCTATTTTAACAAGAACTCAATTATTTTATCCTTAAACATGTAACATTTAAGCCTGCCAAAATCTCATTTATGATTTTATTATATTTCTAGCCAAAACACCTGAGGAAAATAAGCTTTAATTTTATTTATTTATTTATTTATTTATTTTGAGTTGGAGTCTCACTCTGTCGCCCAGACTGGAGTGCAGTGGCCGCTCCTGACCACTGCAGCCTCGACCTGCTGGGTTTCGGGGATCCTTCCGCCTCAGCCTTCCAAGTAGCCGGAATTACAGGCATGCACTACCACGCCCGGCTGATTTTTTTATTTATTGTAGAGATGAGGTCTCGCTGCCCAGGCAGGTCTTGAACCCACGGGCTCAGGCAATCCACTCACCTCAGCCTCCCAAAGGCACGGGATATAGGCTAAGCTACCGAGCCCGGCTATAAGCTTTAATTTTAAAATGAAAGTCAATGGGCAAATTAGATGAAAAAGATGCATATACTTCTAAAGCAAAAATTCTGTGGAGTCACATTTATACTGATTAAGCTCTCTGAGGGTGAACATCCTCTCTTTCAAAATTCTGGGTCACAATTATTGGAGTAGTAATTTACTGGAGACCCAATTTATGCAGAATTTATAGAGTAGATGTCAAATGAACACAGATACAGTCAGGAGCAGACACACATTTCTTGTTGAAAAATGCATAAAGACAAATTCCTCCTGATGAGTAACTTAGAGGATTTCTGGATCCCTTTGAGGCACTGATATGGACTGAAAGTCTTGGCCATTTGCACTAAATACCATTTCTGCTATTTTATATGTGGCTGGTGGAAGATGCACTCACCTACTGCTGGGCTGGGAGGCAAGAGTGCCATTCTCTTCAGGTGAGGTCTCTGCTGGTTTGGATTTGAAGTAATTGACAAGTCCCCCAAACACACTCTTAATGCTGTTGATGTGCCTCTGGCTGGTCTTCAAATCTTGGTCCATCTTGTCTACCATCTTCTCTGTACGTTCTAAGACTCCTCGCTGACGAACAAGTTCCTGGGAAAAGGGAGTGACAGATGCATTACACCTCTTTGTGATTTTCCCCCAACCCAGTAGAGGACCACACACAGCAGGTGCTTCATAAACTCTTAGCTAGTACATCCAGTGATGGATGCTGTCGTTTGTGAAGGGCATGCTATCCATTCTGATAACACGTTCCTTGCCTCTCCCTCCCCACCCTACTTACTTTTTCATTTGCTCTTGAGACCCTTTTCTTGAGAGGTTGGCTCACAGAACCATGTTAAGATAGATGGAAGTTCCTGGGGGCTCAGAATCCAGGGCTTGAACTGGCAGCAGACTCTAGCCATTCTGGCCCTGGTAACCTTCACAGGCTTAGCCCTGGCACTGCCTCCTAGAACCTAGTCCTAATATATACATCCTGTTCAGATACTGGAGTTCCCATTGGGCCACCTGAGCCTCCTACCTCTGATCAAATCTTCAAATTCTATTTCATGGATTAGCGTAGTTTCTGGGCCCTATTAGTGTCTGACTCCAGCCCATCCAGTTTCAGCTTTAAGCCTGTAACAAGGCTGACCCTGTGACAGGGCCTTTGCATGAGACACTTTCTCTGTCTGTAATGTTCCTAATCCAGATAACGGTATGACTCAGTCCTTCATTCAATTAAGGTCTCCATTTATTTTTTGAGAAAGTAGGAATTTATTAGGAAGATAGCACAGCTCCCAGCAGCAGGAGGGGTCCCAAAGGGTGGCCTAAGGTCTCCATTTAAAGGCTACTTCCTCAGAAAAAGCCTTCTCTAAACATCTTCCCTAAGGAGGCCGACCCCATACCCTTCACCTGCTTTCTTTATAGCACACAAGCTCCACGAGGCAGGGACTTGTTTTGTTCACTGCTGAGTCTCCAGAACCTCACTCAGCAGCTGCTCGCTGTAGCAGTTGCCCAATGAACGTGTGAATGACACTCTGTGGCCACAGGACAGCCTGGACCTTATCCCTCCAGAACTGATGGTTCTGGCTACAGATGTGAGCTCATCACAATAGCAACACCACCACCTTCCTTTATTTGTGACAAACTTGCTTCAGTCCCTAGAGATTTATCTCAATCCCTTTTTCAGGGTTTATAAGCTGCCTTCCCAGCCAGAAGACACTTGAACTTTGTTTTTCCTACTTTATGAGGCAGCCTCAGCCCCCACCGCCTTCCTCTGAATTTTCTATCCATGCATCTCTCTGAAGCTTAGCAATTACACTAACAACACAAAAGTTCTTTAGAGATGTTCTCTCTTGATACCTAAAAACAAAGTCTTGAAAGAGTTTTAAACACACACCTAGAAATCTGAAGGACAAAAATGAAACTTCATATGGTTGCTGGAGACCATTTTATATACAAAGATGTCAGTGGAAAGTCTTTAGAACCTTTAAAAACACAACAGGTGCCAGGCATGGTAGCTCATGCCTGTAATCCCAGCACTTTGGGAAGCAGAAGCGAGAGGACTGCCTGAGTCTGTGGGTTTGAGATCAGCCTGGGCAACATGGTGAGACCTCATCTCTACAATAAATCAAAAAAATTAGCTGGACATGGTGGCGCATGCCCACAAATTTTGTAAGGTTTAATTTTCAGCTACTTGGAAGGTTGAGGTGGAAGGACTGCCTGAGCCCCAGGTTGAGTGCCACTGTACTCCAGCCTGGGTGACAGAATGAAGCTCCAACTTTAAAAAAAAAAAGAAAGAAAGAAAAACGCAAGAGGAAACTTGAATTCTTATTTAGTGGGTAAAAATTTTAAATATAATGCTGCATTTATTATTAAACTTTGCTTAAATCTTGTTGGAAATAAACTTTAGAACTGTCGAACTTTCCAGCTTTGAGTGTTTATGTTTTCACCAGTTCATGAGACAAATGTGTCCCTTAATGAGTCAAATAAATCTTGCAAGGCCTAATTTTCAGAAGAAAATAAAAAGAGTTGCGAATGTAGCTGGAATTTCTGCTTCTTCCAACACCTCAAGTTTATCATCTTCATGTCCATACCATGGTCTTTTCTGGAACATGGCAGAGCTAAAAATTAGGAATTAAAATTATTTTCTCCAGCATCCATGTGATTTTTTGAGTTCATCTATTTCTTTTTTTTTTTTTTGAGTTGGAGTCTCATTCTGTTGCCCAGACTGGAGTGCAGTGGCCACTCCCTGCCACCGCAGCCTCGCCCTG